CATTGCCAACAAATGAACCTTTACCATAATTCAAACACAAAAGGCCCCAAAAAGTTTGTACTTTATCACCCACTACAGCAGAAACGTCCAACAATGTAAACCCTTTATTTTAAAGTGCAAGGCGACAAAATTTAGCTTGTCATATTCCTTGTCTCAATTTGTAAGGGGAAGTTTGGGAGTCAGAGAGCAAAGAAGCAAATTAAAGTCAACAAAATACTTCAGTCCTTATGCACTGCACCCCATTCCAATCCAATGGAATCCTGTATCCCTTTTAAGTTCTATGTTTTGTTTTGTTTTTTTTTTTTGTCTATCTATGAATTTATATTATTATTATTAGTTTTCCATCTCTACCTTCATTTCAATTTTTGCCCAATTAAATGTTTTCCATTTGTACAGTTTGTAACATGTAGAACTGGCACTCCAGTTTGGCTTTGTTTGGAAAACTTTGGTTGATTGATTCTATCCTATGTTTCAGGATTTTATCCTAGCCATATTCAGATTGCCAATTAGGGGTGCAACTTGAGCTCAAATTCTTGTCTAGTAACTTCTTCTTCTGCTGCTGCTGCTTGAGTTGTCCCAATCTCCATTACAAGCAGCCAAAGACTATTAATTGAGCCAGTTTGGCACCTTCATCTAGCAATGTATCAGTTCAAAGGAATGACCTGGCCCAGCACATTAGGAAATTTATACTCAAACCCACAAACCAGAACCACAACATTTCTATACTGAGTACTGACCAGAGCCTTGACTCATGTGGGTCCAAATCTGCTTATTACCCAGTTGCTACATCTCTAATAACAATTTGCCACCTATGTCGAAACCATATGAATGCTCTCCAGATGTTATTTTCCTCTTGGTAGGAAACTGTTGCTGTTGTGGCTATAAGAATAATGAAAGTTGCTCCAAAATTGACAGCAGGTTCGCACTGAAAAGACCCCCCAAGCCTGTTTASACTTCCATCCCCTCCCACTAAAGACAGACTACTAGTCTATATATTTGAATCATGTAAAGAGATTTGAGATGATTCAATGATTTTATCAAGTTTGTTCACTAGTGATTCTCTTTTCCTTCTTCTCTACATAAAAAAAGACTTGCTTGTCTTCTTCTTCATTAAATAAGTAGTAGTGCCCCTTTCTAAGCATTATAGCTAGTGCCCCTTTCTATCTCTAAGAGCAATGTTGTCAGACTTGGATCGGATTAAAAGCTGAAATGCTCAATGGGTCATGGTTTTATCAGTTAATTGGGCAATTAGTCCACTCAAATAGTAAAAAATGTCATTTGATTGAGACCTGGAATGCCTGTCGGTTCGTGATTTTCATGGTCTGACTGTCAAGTTTGATCTGAGTCTTATAACTAAGGGTGTAAATGGACCGGTTTTGGGTTGAACCCAGTTTAAATCAAGATTAATTTGGAGGGATTGGACAGGCCAATAAAATATATTGAATTGAACCAGTCCAGACTTAATGGCCCATAAGTATTTTTTGATCGGATTAGACTTGGTGCATCTGTAGTGGATTTATATTGGATTGGGTCAGATTGAACTAATATCCTATCCATAAAAATGCATGTGTCAATAGACCAGGTTTAGATTGGAACAAATCTAAATTAAAACCAATTTGAACAGATTGGACAGTCCATACATTAAATTGGACCAGTCCAAAATAGTCCTGGATTAGACTGAATTTGGTCCATTTGTAATGGCCTCATGTTGAACCGGATTGAATTGAACCAAAACCCCTACTTATAACACTGTATAAGGACATGTTTTGATAAGGGCTGAAGTTACTAAACTAAAAGACTAATTGCTTTATTTTTAGTTGTAAAAATAAGTAAAAGAAAAGATGTTCAAGGATATAATCTATCCAACTTCAGTTTCAGCTACGGAGCTCACAGCCCACTAACCTCGTTATGATCTTATTTACTAAACTTTTCAGTTCAACATATTCAGCTGTTATCAAACCGCCCTAAGAGCCGTCACAGCCACCAAGGCACCAGTTCTTCCCAACTGAAGGCCTCTGGTTCCACCATACAGCTTGTAAATGCTCACTAAGGGTTCGTTTGGGAGGGTTTTTATATTGGAGGCGAGGTGAGATGATTCAGCTATGATGGTTGAGGACCTGTGTTCCAAAAAAGCTACCTGGAATAGCTTTTTATTTCACTAGAGCTTTTGGCATTCAAAATACAATGAAGGGCTGTCCGGATTTTCACCAAAACACAGCTTCCGGCATTCGCGTGTTGAGGCCAACTTGGAACCTCAGAAGCTGCACCCTGAAAGCCCTCCCAAACGAGTACTCTGGCGTGTGCCTGTGCCAACCCAATCGGCCGACCCGAGGTAGCTGCTTATGGATATTGATCAAACCCTAATGTTAGTTAATTCTGGCCTGGTTTAAATCAGGCCGGACTTCGAAATGGGCAAACCAGGGTTATATCCCAAGAAAGTAGGTTCATGCATCAACCCAAAATGAAAACAAAACAAACAAAAAGTTAGGGGAGATTCAATGATACCTTCCCCTTGTTCTGTGAACCTTGGGATGAATGTGCTCTTTCATCTGTCTCCTTTATATCTGGCCCCACCTGCGATGATTGTCTGAATTAGTGAAGTTACGTCGCGACGACATACACACACTCCAAGATAAACAAAACAAAGACATCTCAGCCGTTGATTATCCATTCATGAATCAGTCATCTTCTATCTGCGACAACTGTAGCAAACTGGCAACATGGTTGTTTTGATTGACCGTATCAACTCTCCAACTTGATCATATCATATCACCAGCTCACCACTACTCCCATCTGTTGTCTTTCTATAATTCTATCGGAGGTGGGTACACCACACGATCTGTCACTGTCGAATTTGGCGGTGGGCCATAAAGTAAGTTATGGTGAATGGGCTTTTCTGTGGCAAGTGCTATTGGCCTATTGTGGTGGAAAGCGACGCCCTGGGAACCAACGGTCTTAAACTTGGGAGAAGAATTAAAATTTTTTGTGACATGGGCCCCCACTCAACGCTGCTTGGCTCAGAATAAAAAAAACGAGGTAGAGAGTAAAACCACCACCCGGCATTTGGTTTTCAAGGACATGGGTTCGTTTAAGTCGGCTGAAGGGTCGAGACAGGAGACAAAGGTTTTGAGGTCGTTTATTTGCATTTGCCACCATAGTTGCAACATTATTACGAGACTGCCATAGTTCAATTTACCAAAATGGCCATTTCCCCAATTCTCTTTTGTTACGCCAAATCATCACCAGTTCGCCACACCAGTACTACAATAAGACAGTCCAAAACATCACTCCCCCGGGTTGATCTGTCGAATTGTTGATTATCTCTGTTTCCCTTTTTCCTCAATCAAAAAATTACTACAGGAAGACCGAATGGGGAGAGAATTCTTTAACTATGGCTAGCTTAGTGTACATAAAGAATATTTTGACACGTAAATTAGTTGATAAATGAAAAAAAATGACCAATATTTCTTTAAATTTTTCATATTTAGAGAAAAATTTGGTTAATGGAAAAATTGATAAACTTTTTCATATTTTTTATTAGTAAAGTGAAGGTTTAATGAAAATAAAAGTTTTATCTACTTAGGAGATTAAAATGTCTTTTTATAAGAAAAAAAAATTAAAGAACCTTTAGAAAATTTGTCCACTTACCATATGACAAAAGAATACGAGTAAATATACTTATCCTGATAATATTTCCCATATAACATTTGTCTAGACTAGTAATTTATATATCTCTAGAGGTGTAAATCAGGTCGTATTGCTTGCGGCTCGACACGATTATGCAAGCCATATTGGGCCTAGGGTTTTAGGTCTACGGGGCAGCATGGCCCATATATATTTATATAATATTATATAAATTATAATTATATAATAATATATAGTATATAATATGCTAATAAAATAAATAATTTTTTTAAATTTTATTATACTAATTTATTTAATTATTGTATATAAACAATTGCATACACAAAATTGATATAAAATTAAAATTTTAAGTGGACTTAGGGAATTGTTGGATTGTTTATATAAATGAAGTTGCTTTGGTCATTTCTTGATTTTTTTTTTTTTGTATATGAGAACGAGTGCATTTTGGGGAACTTCTATAGTCATGGAAAAGACATGCTCCGTACAGCTAGTATACTCTTTGCTGAATAGACCTGTTCATGGGCCGGGTGGCTCGACGGGCCGGCCCGGCCCGGCCCCCGAATGGGCTTGAACATGTTTATAGGCCTATGGGCTTAAACTCAGGCCAAAAAGCTCGACCCGTAATAAATTCGAGCCGGGCTCAGGTTTTGTCAAAATAGCCCGATCCGAGCCTGGCCCGGCCTGACTTAAAATTAGACTTAAAATGGGTTATGTGATTTTGTCCATTTGAATAAATTTTTTGATTTAAGAATGTAAAATTGTGTTTTAAAACATAAAAGAAAGGTAAAAAAACCATCTTGTAGGTCCATTGTTAATTTAAATAGGAAAAAAAAAACATCTGAATTTTAAATTCTAATTTGAATAGGGAAAATTATAATTTTTTTTATTAGGTCGGTCTTAGGGCTTGGGCCCAAATTATAGGCCCATTGGTTGGTCTCGGGCCTAATATATTTCCATTAATGATGAATAAAAGCCCGGCCCGGCCCATAAATAGGTCTCTAGTGTGGGAACTACTTTGGCAGAACAGAACAATTCTCACACGTGAATTCAGAACGCCTACAATTCTACTCGTAAATTTCACACACGTTGGGCCCGTATCAAGATCTGCCAAGTAGCCTCCCACTCCTCCAATTCTACAGTAATGACCCAACAAGTTTTCCCACATCATCTGTKCTATGGGACTTTGTGGGGCAATCTTGTGGGGCTGATTTGAATTCTCTTCCTTCGTATGCAAGTTGCCACGCGTCAACACCTTATAAGTCCTCAATTTAACGCCGTCTCCTTCACTAACGGCAACCACAAGGCTATATAAGTCCCATCACTTGCTATCTGTTCGTTGTCTCAAGTTCTCAGTTCTCCGTTCCTCCCTCCCTCCCTCCCTCCCTCCTCCCTTCTTAGAACTGAATTGTTGAAAACTGTAGTATAAAAATATAGAATCAGGTTGACGAAATGTTCCACTTCTGAGGTTTCTCTCTCCTCAGTTCTCACTCTATTTCGCCATGGAAGCTGCACTTCTCAGAACCGGTTCAGCAACCCTTCGTGCATCTCTCTCTCGATCACCCAAGGTTTCTCTCTGCGATAAGGATTCCCTCCCCGGAATGTTATCCTCCGATAAAAGCAAGAAAAGGGCTTCGTGTTTGAGGTCCTCTCTGCATTTCGAGAGCAAGGTCAAGCGGGTTGATAATTCGAGGCTTATCCGACGGACGCTTTCGGACTCCGACACGGTTTGGTCGGTTAACAAGGACTCAGGCTGGTTAACAAAGTTGAGTGGACTCGGATCTCTGTCTTTCCCATCGAACCCTGTGCTTGATCGCGGGAGTTCTGCTGGAGTTTTGCGGGGGAACCTCGTTGAAACGGAGGAGTTGGAATTGGCCAGTGGTGGAACGGGTAAAGGAAGCAAGGTTGGTGGAGRAGGAGATCGGGGTGATCGTGGTGGCGGTGGCAGTGACAGTGACAGGGGTTCATCAAGCAGCGGTAGAGCTGATCACAGCAAGATCGACGCTTGTTACCGAGAGATGCTTAAGGCAAACCCTGCGAATCCGCTTCTCTTGAGGAACTACGGCCAATTCTTGCATCAGGTACTTTGAATTGATCGATTTTATCGACTCCTACTTAAGAACTTGGGGTTCTTGATCTTCGGTTGATCTGATATTTTGCTGTTTGTTGTTGTATAAAGGTGGAGAAAGATCTGGTTAGAGCGGAAGAGTACTACGAGAGAGCGATATTGGCGAATCCAGGAGACGGAGAGTTGCTGTCTCTGTACGGGAAACTGATATGGGAAATGCATAGAGACCAAGACAGAGCTGAGTCTTACTTCGAACAGGCGGTCCATGCATCTCCTGACGATTGGTACGTTCATACTTTCAATTCCGTCCTTTTAGGTGCCAAAATTTGAAAACAAAAAGAGTGAAAAAAAAAAGGATTTTCAAAAGAAATTTAGAGATTGTTTCCCTCTTTTTTCTTTATGTTTTTGTTTTGATTGAATGAAATGTAATTAACGAATCACCGGTACGGTATTGATGGGTGCAGCTTTGTGCTGGGTTCATATGCCCACTTCCTGTGGGATTTGGAGGAGGAAGAAGATGATGAAAGTCAAGCAACAGTAGAGACCAAAATACCAGCTTCGGTTGTGGCTTTTTAAGAGAGTGACGCTGTACGCAGACGCACCTGGAACTGTGGAACTTCCTCTTCTCTCTCTCTCTCTCTCTGTCTGTTATAAGGTATAGTTATATTATACATAGTGTTTTCTGAGAGGTCTCTCCCTGTAACGAATGAAGTAACTTTGACTAACAAAGAAACGGCGGGGGTAGTGTTAGGAGTGAGAAACAGAGAAATTTCTATAGAGAAATGTAAGAAAGCTTCCTTCATGTACAGAGTAAAACAGTTTATATATATTTACTGTATAATAATACATTACAATACAATGGGTTGATGACTCTTTCTCAAGTTCTGTCAAATCTCCTTTCTGTTATATAAATTAATGAAACATTAGTCGATAGCTGTTAAAGCTCTAGCTAAACTAAACTCAAAGTCCAAGAAATTTTTACAACATTTGATGGTTGTGCTTTGCTCAACAGTGTTTTCTTCTTCAACTTGCACCAAATCCCCATTTGCCAGTGCAACAGTTTATGCTCAACTTGTCCAGTTTATAAATTCTCTTCCTGAGAGTTGAGAGTTGGAACAGAGAGAGAGAGAGAGAGAGCATTGTCTAAACTTCTAGCTAGCTTAGCTATAATCCTTCATTCTGCTTCGTGCAGACCCACCCAAGGGGGTAAAAAACAGCAGAAGATGCTCTTAGATGATTTAAATCATCATTTCAGTTTTAAAATCAAAGAATAGATCAGTAATTTCTACCTCTAAACTCATTCTAAAGACTAAAAGTACAATAACAATAAATTATCCTCTATTCAGTGAATCTCTGCAATTTGACTGCAAATGAGTCTGCAATTTAAATTCACCCACAATGACTAACTGCAAATTTAATCTTACAAAACCCACAGCCCAGATAACAAGTCTATGTCAATTACAGCTACCTCTTCTTGTATTGTGTGGAACACAGTTCGATATAATTGTGACAACTGACAACTAGGTTTGCCCTTCTTTACTTGTTTTGTTAGGAGAGAGAGAAACGGGCTGCTGGTTGTGTTTGTTCTTGTTTGGCATAAATATAACATCAAGGGCTATTAGCATAACAACCCTGTACTCAATATGGGCAAACACTCCCACCACCCAAACCAGAGAAAAACAAGTAAAGGTCAAATTTGTAACAATGACCGTCATCTCTCCCATTTGATGAGGAGTGATGGTATTATATTAGTCATCCACAAATGGATAAAATCTTCATCCTCTGTTAAAGCACAATACTTCATTTGCAAACAAAAGCAAACCACACAGCAATAACAGATTCAAATAAACTCTAATTAGAGGATCATTTATGAAGGTTGCACAAATACCAGAACAGCCTCCCGGCTTGCCTACTCATAGAATTCTGGTCTGTTGCCATGATTGGACCTTGCTATTGATTACAAACTACAAAATTGATGATACTCCAGGATATGTATAGTTTTCAAGGATTCAAGCTTGCATCTTGCTTCTGGGGAAACAAAGTACCAAAGGTTGCTTGAGCCCCCGTAACTTGTCTGTGTCAGTTCCACTGGGAAAACATCCTACACCAGATTATTCTTTAACAGAACCCCTTTTTCTTCTGCTGTCAATAATAGATGCAACCCAAAAAGCCTAATGATCTGTTGAACTTGATTTCCTGCTTTATTAATTACTATAAAAAATTGTGTGAAATTTATATACAATTTAAACCAGATCTTGTTGCTAATTGGTTGGTTTCCAATAATAAGCAGAGCATTAACAATAACCATGATCCTTAATCTTTTATGTCTTGAGAGTGCTATATTGGTGGGATGTAGGAATCCTATCAATAAGTAAAAAGGAGTGTCCCACTCACTCTTCCTTAGGATTTACATTTTGTGTTTATCCCGTTAGCTAAATGATGCTGCTCATGTGCTTAAGGGAATCATAAATTCTAAAATAAATATAATGGTGCTGCAGTCAATTTTAGATTCTAAGGGTAAGGTATTCATATTGCAGTCCTAGAGTCCTAGATTATCTTCAATAGTAAACAGTGTCTTCGTGCAACTTCTCTTTTATCCTCTAAATCATACCATCTTCACCTCAGTATGAATAGAAATAGACTTGATCCTAGCCATGGGTATCCTTTCTGTTGACAACAGTAGTAACACTTGATCTGAGGATGAATGGAACTGATTCACTCTCATATGCAAATACAATGCGCACAAAAGAGTACACTAGGATACATAAATCTGTAATGTTTACTGGGGATGAATATCGGAATTATTCCTGGTTGTGGTCATAGAATGATAGAAGATGGTACAAGGGTAGAAAAAGACAGATAATGGATAGGAATTAGATAATCATCCCAGTTGGTTTTCAGCCAAGGTGAGACTAAATCCATTTGATGGTGGGCACACAAGAAGGAGGTACATTCTTAAGTCGGGTCAATTGGACCAACTTAACCAGCTCCTTGCCTAAATAGCCATGAAGGTATGTGATGTTACTTCTCAATGGATATATTAAGGAATAAGGTATTGAACTTCAAAAGGTTTCATAGATTAATGAATTCAAACAATTCACTCTTCAGCAAAGATAGAGCAGGTTCAATTCAATCTATTGGATGGCCAACAGATCAACAATAGCACTGGTTAAAATATCCACCCCATCAGTTATTTACAATCAGGAAAACAAATATAATGGTCCAAAAGTGGCTTACTGATGCCATCATTTTAACCAAATTGCAGGAGTAATTCTTGGGTTAACCAAAAAAAAGTGCTCTGCTACCTGAAATTGAATCAACCTACTCAACCCAGTCTATCAGCATTTGCGTCAGCCATAAAGGTGCAAAATGTAATTGGTCCTTGCAAGTTGCAAATGCCATCAATGCAAACTTCAATGGTATCCCCATCATAGTAGAGTTAAATTAGTTCATCGGATGTTCTGTAAGGAACTTAGGAACCCATGGTAATCTGATTTACAAGGGGGAATTGTAGATAGTTTGATACGGACATTGTATTTGTTCTTCCTACTCAGTTTGGGAAGAGTACAAATACAAATATGTACAGTGAAAATACAATATATAAGGTTTTGAGCTTTGAACTGTACATATTTGTATTTGTACTTCTCCCAAACTGAGTCTCCAGGTCCAGTCAGATGAGGAACTCTGCAGCAACTGTCATCTACAAGGGCTCAAATAGAAAGCAAAGCTCTTAAAAAATGCTAAAAAATTGATAGATAATAGTATAATACACACAAAACTGTAATGAATAAATCATTGTCAACCGTCTGTTATTCTGGAGCACTTGTTTAGCCCAACAAGCAATTGGAACTTGATCAACACTTCTCCCCATATTTTGGTTACTTGAGCGCAAGGATCGAGATATCGCAATGTATCGGGATATATCGGTTAATATTTATCATATTGGTAACCCTCCAATATATCTTTACACTTAGGCGGTGTTCGGTACCGCATTCATCTCCACACCCCAATATAGCGTCAACAGGAAAAACTTGTGGATGTGTCCCCTCCACGGTTTATTTTTTATCCCATGCTTCACAGTCTCTCTGGAACCTTATTGTCTGTTTCACATTACCATTAGAGGTCTTCGCCGCCCACCCGTTGAAGCTTCTCTCCGCTTGCTAGTCTCTCTCTCTCTCTCTCTCTCTCTGTTTCGCATAGATTCATATTTCCATAGACAACCTGATGAAAAAAAGACAAATGAATGTTAGCTCATTTTTTTTATTAGACAAAACTGATGAATGTTAGCTCATTTCTCTCCACCCGCCAGTTTCTCTCTTTTTCATCAGACAAAAAATGAATGTTAGCTCATGTTAGCTCAGGAAAAACAATTGTTGTTTATCAGAAATGAATGTTAGTTCTCGAGAAAAAACAACCTGCAAATGAATGTTAGCTCATTGTTTTTAATTTTTTTACATTTATTTTCATCTTATACTACGGACCCAATTGTTGAAATACATAAACTTGTTGTAATTCTTTGTTTTCTTGTCTTTTCATGATAATAAAAATTGTGTTTTCTATTGTACGATTTCTGCAAGTATACAGATCGTGGGCAAGTAACAGTGTGTGAATAGAGTGTCGATCCCATAGGGAAGGTGTTGTCAAGTACCAAATTTTAAGATTTATCTATTATTTAGAAATTAGAATTTCAATTCTCAAGCCAAATTAAAGAAATGATAATGCAAGTAAATAGGTTTAATTCAGAATATTATAAAAATCCTAGGATTCGGGTTTCATCAAATGATTACCTATGACATACTTATGTTTTCTTAGATTGGTTTATTGTTGTAGGAATTTATGATCAGATTTCCCCAAATTATGTGAAGTTCTCTCTCAAGATACAACACGTGTTTATGCTAACCGCGTGTCTACTCTCGTGATCAGGGGCAATGAACACAAACCCATTA